CATTAGCCCCTCTAGTAATATATTTACTGAGAAAAATGGTGACGTGTTCAATACTTATTTTACCCACTGTATATATATATATATTATATATTTCCCACTTTTTAGCTTTTTGTTTGTTTTGGTAGGGGAAATGGTTGGATGAGTGGTTGGATCATGATAGTGATGCTGTGCAGCCAGGAATAACTGAAGTACAGAGCCATTTCAGCAGCATGGTCGTTTCTTTATGGTATCAAAAAAGACACAAGTGTGTTTGTGCGAATATGTATATAATAATTTGTGTGTTTGTGTAATTTCGATAAATATCAGTTATCAGTAATAACACCAATAATAACATTGGATATCGATATCGGCTGAGATTTTCAAATTGAAATTTGTATCCCGAACAAACTTGAGCTTGAAATGATTTTATTCTGAAACAGGTAAACCAGAAGTATCACAAGTTAAATGGAGCTATACCTGGTTTGGATTGGCTGATTTGCCTCAGACGATCCCTCTTCAAATGAAACCAAATAGAAAACTAACAACAGGTTTGCGTCAGGATGATTGACATTTGTCTTAGCGGTTATCTTCCATTAATTTTGTGGCTTAGCGTAAGCGGAGCTAAGATACATGTTTAGCTGAACAGTGGTCAGTGAAGCTAACTTTCTGGTTAGCTGTGCTCACCACTGGTTACTGATATTTGGTCTGAATCCTAATTTTAGCTTAATTTGACAAGGAATTTTTAAACCTCAAACAATATTTGGATTTAAAGATATATCAGCTGGGAGGAAAAACATCGCTGCTAGCTTGCAGAGAAAAATACATAAACGTAAGGCGTTTCTGCTCAAAATCATGTTCTTGTAGCTACTGCTTAAAAGTGCTAAAAATACTTAAGATTTTATTTTAGATATTTCATTTATATGCTTTAGCTAATTCCCTATTGTTGCCACTTTGGGACCCTCCGTTTGATGCGACGGGTCACTTTTGATTCAGACAAAACTGCTGTCTGAGATCTACAAACAAACAAACAAACGAGCTGTTTGTTCATTTCAAAGTAACAAGTATTAGTAAGTATTTTTGCTGAAGGGATCATTTTGCTTAACGGCTTATCTTAAACACCCACAGAGAGCTGCAGATGAGCGAGTCGTGGGCGTGAAAACCTGGTGATTAGTACAGATCAGGGCAGGCCTCTCGTGGAGCACATCGCACACGACTGTGGCTGAATGGGCAGACATGTGTGTGTGTGTGTGTGTGTGTGTGTGTGTGTGTGTGTGTGTGTGTGTGTGTGTGTGTGTGACCAAATTTGTGTGTGTGTGGGTGGGCGGCTGGAGCGGAGGAGGACTGGACGATGTATACGGATCTAAATTTGAACTTGCACGTGTTTTGTTTGGCACCTGCTGAGGGGGACGAACTGTCAGGACAACGCAGGCCTTTGACCGTCCCGCTTCACCTGTCAGAGGACAAAGAGCCGTGTCTCAGGCTGCGACACGTGTGGATCTGCTGCTGGCCGGCAGAGATAGTAGCAGTCCTGCACGAGTGGGTGGACAGTCTGCACACTGACCACCTTCATGTTCTTTCCTTTTCAGGCTGAGTGGAATAAACAACCCTGAAGAAGAGTTGGAGCTGACAGGTTGACTCTCCAAAACGTCAGGGAGGCGAGATCAAAGTCATTCATTCATCAAACCGTTGAGCTTTTATTCGTCACTAATTCACCATCAGGCCTTCTGAATATCTTCAGTGTTTTCAAATTAAAAATCAAATTGAGCTGGTTTTAGTTTGTAGCCCTGATATAAATCATCCTGTGACAGGTTAGATATTAACACTTTTCCCCCTGCTGTGCAGGCTGATTGTTCCGGTGATTTTTCTGTTTTGTGCAGCAGCCTCCACATCACTCCGACTGACGGAGTGGGAGTCGAAACGTTTTCTTTTTAAAGTGTGAACATTTCTAAATGTCGCTCCCGTGGTGTGCATTTTAGTGTTAGACCTGCGGTGCATGCTTTGAACTTTAATCACAACTGGACACAAATTTTTTTTTCCTCTAGTTTTTTTATTTTATTTTATTTTTTGCTGGTGTAAATGCTGACTCAGCTTCCTCTCCTGTTTGGAGTTTCTTCTGTACTTTTATTAGACTAAAACTCAAACTTTAACCTACTTCGGCACATTAAAGTTGTGTTTTTTTTTCCAGTTTTAATATTTTTTGCAGTATGTGACCTTATTTGAAACAGAGATCAAACACTCCAAAAGTGTTGTGCTCTTTGAAATTCACATAATGCTTCCTTTCGTCTTCTTGCGTGTCTTTTTCAGGATTTCTTTCTTCTTTCTGCGCCCTTTTCATTCAATGATTGATTTACTTTGTTTTTATAGTGAACTTTTTGTTGTTTTTATGAATTTAATTAATTAATATATGATTTTTTGTCATTTTAAGCAATTTTTTTGTCTTTTTCTCACTTTACGAATCCTTTTAGTTTCTCTATGCACGCGGTTTGTTATTTTGTGCATCTTTTATCATTTTTACACATAAGCATCCTTCGTCTTTTTGTCTCCTGGTGTTCATTTTATATTTTCTGTCCTCTTAAGTTTTATATTTGTGATTTTACGTCTTCTTATTTGGGCTTTTTTGCCATTTAATGGCTCCTTGTTTTTTTATTTTTTGTCTTCTTGTTCTTTCTTCACTCCTTTCTTGTAGTTTTTCTGTTCCTCTTGACTTATCTTCATCATTTGTCTTTTTTTTTTTGTTAGTTTTATTTTTTTTTCTTGTTTAAATTGGAACCTATATTGTTCCTTTTTGCTCTTGCAGAACTTTGCTCACAAAGACCTGCGGCAAAATCTGAACTCATCGAAGCAAATCTGGCAGCCTGAAGATTGTGACGCCTCAAAATGAGCTCAATAATAAAGGAAATCAGGCAAAACGACGCAGCTGCAGTTACAGAAACCATGAGCACAAAGAGAAACAAAATTTGAGCAACACTAACTTTACTGGAACCATTTTATTACACTCTCATGTTGATGTTTGTACACTATCATTAGAACTGTTAACACTGATCATCTTAAAGCATTCATACATAAGAATAAGAAGCTACAGAGAAGATCTACAGTATAAGTGTAACATTTGGGTGTGGATGAGCAAAGTAAACCGCTCAGGACACAAACTCACTGTGTAAAATCTCACGTATGTTGTAGTTATCAAAGCATGTTTTTTTTATTGTGTCTCTGTATTTGTCTGTACCGTTAGCAAAATATCTCATGAACCACTGGACAAATTTGAATGAAACTCTCAGGAAGTTTTCACTGGATGCACAACTTAAAACTGTTTAACTTTAAGTTTTAAAGGAATTCAAGATGGCCGCCACATCCAACTGGCTTTACGAAACAGATAAATTACAATAACTCTGCTGCTGTTACAGATATTGAGCTGAAATTTGGTGTGGTAGTAGCTGATAGTCAGCTACAAAACATAATCTAAGCTGTAATTATTGTGTATGATTTTTATCTAAAACCATTGCTGTCAAACTCATTCGTCTGTTAGCAAAATATCTCATGAACCACTGGACGGATTTGAATAAAACTCTCAGTAAATATTCTCTGGATGTGCAAATACAACTGGTTAACTTTTAGGATCACCCCTATTAAAGATGGTTGCTTCAGCTAATCAAGAATGGGCAGTTCTAAGTGGCAATAACTCCGTTACTTGTACAGATATTGAGCTGGGATTTGGTGTGGTAGTAGCTGAGAGTCATTCTCAACACATATTCTGAGCATTAACTCAATAAGAGCAGGCTGTGGCGGTCATTGTGGATTAAAACCTTGTCATGATGGGCGAGGAGCGATGCCAGGCCTTTAATTTAAACTTTTAACTGTTAGGTTGATGTCTTTTTTTTTTCATTTTGTTTGTGTTGTTGTTGTTGTTGTTGTTGTTGTTGTTGTTGTTGTTGTTGTTGTTGTTGTTGTTGTTGTTACTTTGTCCTCTCTCATCAAGCATTTTTTTCCCCTGCCTATGAAGCAAAATATTCGGCGGCCTCAGCTGTGCTCTCAAAGCTCGTTTCCGCGCTGGGGGTCCGGATGCTGGCCCCTCCTGTGGGACTCCTCATCAGAGGTAAGAGGGTCTCGCTGTGGCACGAGGAGCTCTGGTCCCAAAGTCGCGCGCCGGAGCCGCACACGTGCTCCCGACGCCCCGGCGGCGCGTCTTGCAGCTCGCCCTCTCCGGTGCGCAGCGCCATCAGCTCGATCTCGTGCTTGGCCGCGGTGTCCAGCACCTGCTGCTTGTTGTAGAACAGCACGAAGTTGTTGATGATGGGGTGTATGGGCAGCGCTATGGCGATGACCCCGCACAGGAAGCTGATGGCCGCGTTGCACCGACCCAAGGTGGTTTTGGGGTACACGTCCCCGTAGCCCACCGTGGTCATGGTGATCACAGCCCACCAGAAGGACTGCGGGATGCTGGTGAACAGGGTGTCCGGGTGGCTTTGCTCCATGGTGTAGCCCAGCGCGGAGAACAGGAAGACCCCCACGCCCATGTACATGAGGAGCAGCCCGAGCTCCTTCAGGCTGCTCTTCAGAGCCGCAGTGAGGGTCTGGAGTCCGGAGGAGTGGCGCGCCAGCTTGAAAATGCGCGCGATGCGCATGATGCGTAAAGCCTGGATGGCCTGCTGCACGTTGGCCAGCTCCATGACCCCCGCGCCGAACGAGGTGAGGATCAGCACCACGAAGAAGGGCATGATGGCCATGAAGTCGATGATGTTCATGAAGGCCAGGACGAATTTGACTTTGTTCGGGGAGGAGATCAGGCGGAGGAGGTACTCGACGGTGAACCAGCCGATGCACACCGTCTCGATGACCTCCAGGGTCGGGTGCTCCGTCAGGTTCCCCTCCGAGTCCTCCACCTGCAGGTCGGGGATCGTGCCCACGCACATCACCACGGAGGAGATGAGGATGAAAACGAAGGAAAGGATGGCGATGACGTGCGCAGCGAGCGAGGACTCCGGCTTCTCCATCAGCCTCCAGAGGGAAACCTGGAAGCGCTGCCAGCCTCCAGCAGCCGGGTCTCCTTCTCGGTCCACCAGGATGGTTCTGACTCGCTCGGCGATCTCCGCGAGCTCCTCCTCCACCTCCTTCAAGTGGCTCTTACAGCATTCGTCGAGAAAATCCGAGCCGATTTTCCAGAAGTCCATCTCCTTCATGAAGCACATCGGGCAGATGCCTCTCTTCATGTGGACCTCTCCGTAATAATACAACTCGATTACGCACTTGAACGCTTCGGGGTCTCTGTCAAAATAAAACTCCCCGGTGTCCGGGTCGTAGTCGTCACACAGCGAGGAGATTTCCTCCGGAGACTTCAGGGAGCAGTCCACCAGCTCGGCCAGTCGAGTGTCCGGGAAGCGGTTCAGCACGTCCCCGTGCAGCACCTGCTTCACCCCGCCGATGTTCACCACCACCTCCGCCTCCTCGCTGGCTTCCGAGCCGTTACAGTCGGCGTAGCGGCTCCTCTGGATCCCCCACATTTCGGTTCCGACGAACCCCTCCCCGACCCACCAGCCGCAGAACAGAGAGGTTTCCGCAGAAATGTCAACAGGCGAAGTGGACGCAAGTCAACAGACGCATCAATCTTCCGGGAAAACCGCCTAAACTCCAAGTTTCAGCCAAAAATAAAAAATAAAAATAAAAATGTTTTCTCAGACGTGACTGCGGCATGAACTCCGCTGTTTGCCAGAGAACAGTGCGCCTGTGCGCTCACAGAAAGTTGCGTCCAAGTGCGCCTGTTGTCAAATTAGACGCATGTAGATGAATACTTCCGGTTATGGATTTCAAAATAATACCGAGGAACGCGCATTGACTCAAAATGCTAACTCGAAACCTCCAAAAATGTTAATATGACACTATCTAAAGAGATGTAGTCGCTGACAACTATTAACATTTGAATAATAAAACGGGAAGTGAATAAAGTTGTGCATAAAGCAGCGATGTTACAAACCAAATAGCTAGTTGAGCTAGCTAGCTTTGTACTTCCGGTTTCTGACTCCAGCTTGATTGTTTACAGTTTGTAGATGCAGCGCACATTCAGGACGTCAGGTCTTGAAGGAGGCCGTGCAAAATGTAGACGCATTATTGTCAACCGGAAACAGGAGGAAATCGTCCACCATTTATTGTAAAATCATAATCAGCATCGTTAATATCTGATCCAACACTGCGACGCTTGTGAGAAAGCAGAATAAATTTTTAGAGGAATGAATTTAGCGGCATTGTGAGGAAACTTATTTGACTAAAAAATGTCTGGTGTACAGAAATGGACCTTGATGTCATAAGTTTAAGCAAACTTCAGAGCGCTTGCTTTGCTTTATTGACAGTCAGGCGGTGGTTTGTCTCCCTCTAGTGGCCACGTTTACACATTGCACTACTTTTATTGGTTTTCTAGTTTTCAGTAAATATAGGATAAAAATAAGTTTATTTTTAGTATAAAGTAATATTTGTGTGGGTTTAAATTTAAAAAATAAATAAATGAACATTTTATATAGATTTCAGCTTTCTTCATTGGATTTAAAGGTGGATAAATAACAATATGTTTTATATTTTACTACTTTCTATCTGCTTTGTTTTTGCTCATTTCACTTTTTGTACTTCAGTATGCTTAAAGGACTTCGTGTGTTGTTTTTATTAGTGTAGGCCTACATATGTTTCTTATAGTTCATGTTGTTTTTAAAGTGCTCAAATAATTAAATCTATAATACAAGATGGAAACGTGTGGTGTTAAGCAGCAAATCAAAACATTTAGAAAAAACATGATGAAAACTAGATTAAAAACTGCAACTAAACAGGAAAAAAACACATGAAAATAAAGTTGATATTGTTTTTTACTATGCACCTTGTTGTTTTAATTGTTGTGTTTTCTTAAATGTTTGGTAAAAATGTATTTGTGTTTCAGTATGTTGCCTAAAATACACCTACTAACCTATAAATAATGTCATTTTTTATTTGTCTGAACACTGAGTGTGTATTTGTTACTAAGGCACAATCCACCAATGAATATGCTTCCGAGCAGGATCCCATCATAACACCATAAGGATGAGTCAGCCCTGTGATATCTTACATATTTTTCTGATGCAGTTTTATGTCGCTTCCATCAACTCCCCTCACTGGAACTACACGGCGCACGCTGATTGGTCGAGTCTCAGCTTCCGCCGGAAGCGGACCAATCAGAAGGCTCAGCGTCGCCAGCAGCGAACCAATCCGCGCGGGCCACGGTGAGCCTTATTTTCCTGGTGTAGTTTTGTGGGAACGCAGCGGCAGCAGTTCTAGTGTTTGGTGCTTGTTGTGAGGGGTCGACGAGGGAGAAGTTAAAACCATGGGACCGTTTTTACTCGGTGAGTTATCACGGAACGCGTTTTTTTTCTTATGTTTAAATCAAATAGGACGAGTTGATGGCACGTGCGTTTGTGTGTGTTTTCATCCGGTGTAGCTAGCTTGAATAGCTAAGTTTTGGTGCAACAACAAGGACAACCAGGCCTTCATTATCGATGAGTTATTGAATTAATAAACGTTTGTTTTGCTTATTACTTTTCATAAGAGCTTTATGAGTAAATTCTAGTTATTACTTTTTATTAAATGTAACTTTAATTGAACGAAGTTGGCTGTGAGGCTCATTATTCATTCTGTTTTTGTTTTGTTTTTTTCCTCAGGAGTTCTGGGCTGCTCACTGGTCCTGTCTGTTCAAGCCATGTATTCGTCCAGTGATGATGTTATTGAGCTTACGCCTTCCAACTTCAACAGGGAGGTGATCCAGAGTGATAGTCTGTGGCTGGTTGAGTTTTATGCTCCATGGTGAGTCCATAAAGTCCAGTATATTCAGTGTTTAAAACCTGGAGAGTTTAGTCAAATGGTTTACGGTTCAGTGACAGTCACTTGCTGCAGGCTGATCTATTTATCCACGCCCACAAAGGCTGTGTTTTAGTTTGTAGCCTTAGCAAAATATCTGGTGAAGCAGTGGATATGCATTCCTTAAAGGAGTCATCGAGTCTTAATACAGTTTGATTCTGTCACTAAAAATATGCTTTTTTGCTTTTAATCATCAGGATTATGGTTTCCCTGGATTGCAGCCATATCGGCTCTGTGTGTAATCACTAAACACGTGTACAAGTTTGGTTTATTTCTCACTTCTTGTATACTCCTACAGGTGTGGCCACTGTCAGAGTCTTGCTCCTGAGTGGAAGAAGGCAGCCACCGCCCTCAAGGTAAGCAGAACTCCTGATGTCACCATGGTGGTCACCTTATTTACACACAGCCGGTTAACAGGAATAAATATATTCTGGCATGTCTACAACTCTTGAATTGGTCAAAATCATCTTTAACCTAAAAATATATTGAAACAAACATGAGAATACTGAAAGAAAATGTTACAGTTACAAAATATTATAAATAAAATTACACATTAAAAGATAAAGAAGGACTTTCTTTGTGCACGTTTTTGTCTTTAAAATGTAAAAAATATCTGAGCCGGTGGAAAATTTAAAATGTCTGCATGTAAAATAAAAAAAATATAAATTGTCTTATCTTTATCAGCGTCACTTTCCGCTTTAAGTTGCAAAGCGTCCTCATGCTCTGTTACAGATAATTACTGGTGTTGGATTAAAGTTTTATTTCAGTTATTTAATTCATTTTTTTATATCAACAGCATTAAATGTATAATTAATAAAAAAGACGAGCATCAGCCAGTCTACAAATAAACAAATATATCAAAAGAATATTTAATGAATTGATGACTTCTCATTTTTAAAATTGTTTTAAATTTCACTTTGATGACAGGTAAAAGTGATGATTCTGCTCCAGATATCCTCACGTTTTCTGACCCTGTTCTGCCAGGGATCTTGTGAAAACTAAGAGGACAACTTTATTCCCTCACCCGACAGTAACACAATACTGAAATCAAAGCTAAACAGTTCAACTCAACTACAAAGTAATAATAATTAAAGGGCCTGTGATATGCTTATCCTTCAAATACAAAAAGTCAAAGAAAACCTTTTATATATAAGAAAATTAACATATTACATATGATTTTATTCATTTTGTCTCATAACTGGCATATTTTCTCTTGAACTTTGCTCAGCAAAGTGAAACAGGAAGCGACATCAAAGGGCAACTCTTTAATAAAAGAAACTCTAGTCTTTGTTTATTGAAACATTCTTATTTAAACTCTTCTCCAACTCTGATAGTGACTCAAAATAATCTAAAGAAACATCAGATTCGTCTCTAATTATTGTAATATTGCTCTGTTTACATGCAGACATTCCCCTTTGACATCACTTCCTGTTTCTTCACATGCAAATATCTCAACAGCTGTTCATCTAAACGTCGTGAAATTTGTTTTGCAACATGTTATCAGTGTTCTTGTTCCAAAAACACATTCACATTTATTGCAAAAAGTTTTATGTCACGGGCACTTTAAGAAGAAGCTTTATTATCATCATAAACTGGAGCACATTGTCAGGCTGTGAATTCAGTAAAAAGTGAGAATCCAGATTTAAATTGAATTGCTGTGTTGATGTTTCAGGGGATCGTCAAGGTCGGAGCCGTGGACGCTGACCAGCACAAATCACTGGGAGGCCAGTACGGCGTCAGAGGGTTCCCCACCATCAAGATCTTCGGAGCCAACAAAAACAAACCGGAGGAGTACCAAGGTATGGACAGCTGATGGGTTTTACTTAAAGCTTTGTGTCTCCTTGTTTTCACGTCTATTGCTCATAACGCTTTCTTTAAGACCCCTAAGCTGTTCCTTCATGCCTGCAGGGGGCCGCAGCAGCCAGGCGATTGTAGACGGAGCCATGAACTCGCTGCGCAGTCTGGTGAAGGAGAGGCTGAGCGGCAGGTCGGGAGGGTCTGGCTACAGCAAGCAGGTGGCTGCAGGAGCAGTTCTCTCTCGTTTTAAAAAGAAACAGCTTCTAATAGCTTTGATAAATGAGCGAACGCTAACACAACTGGCTTCCAGCAGAGCGGAGGGGCAGGAGAGGGCAACAAGAAAGACGTGGTGGAGCTCACTGACGACAACTTCGATAAGACGGTGCTAGACAGCGACGAGGTGTGGATGGTGGAGTTCTTCGCTCCCTGGTGTGGACACTGCAAGAAGTGAGTGACGGCGGAGCCTTGTCGTGACGGAGATCAGAAACTTTTTAAATGTTTGAACCTGTCTCCTCCCTCCTGTCCAGCCTGGAGCCTGAGTGGACAGCTGCAGCCACAGCTGTGAAGGAGCAGACCAAGGGCAGGGTCCGCCTGGGGGCCGTGGACGCCACCGTGCACCAGGTGATCTCCAGCCGCTACGGGGTGAGTGGACGCTCTCAGATTGGACCTAAATGTGCAAATGTCTTAAGTTCTGTCTGCATCTTCTATATTTATTCTTCTTTCATCTGTTTGTCGCATTTTAAACCTTGGATCTCAAACATGAAGTGATTCAGTGTTGAAGACAGCTGTTGGACTTCAGAACCGTTTACTGGGTCGAACAATGTTTCAGTCAGACAGAACCAACAACAAGGAAGCAAAACGTAAAGAATTAGAGAAAAATTATGTAAATAAATTCTAATTATAATAAATTAATAATAGTTTTACATATAAAAAATCATATTTTATCCTTTTAATCTATTTTCCTCATTCAGCAACCTATTAAATTTCTGTTATGTTTCATGTAGGAGAAAAACACTTTTTTTTCAGTCAGTATTTAATACAGCTGGCAAAATAAATTAAAGTATTTATGTTGTGCTTCTGGTTTTTAATTCAGGGGATTATAATAAAAAAATCCTAAGAAAATGGCTGCTTATCCATTAATTGTTAGTCAATGTATAAGATAAATCAACTTCAGATTATTCATTAATCGATAACTAGCATCCCTAATTTACACAGGAATAAAATTAATTTATATCTACTCATATTCATGTAATTAAGCGTTTTAATGATTTGGCCGATTAATCGATTTAATTAAAATAATCGTTAGTTGCAGCCCTATTTGCAGGAGTTCTTTTTAATATCTGCTTTCTGTAAAAGCATCAAACTTGACTGAGAAGCTTTTATTTTGAAGAGCACTGATTATTTTTTTTATCACTCAGTTAAGCTACAAAACAATAAAATGTAACTGTGGCTCTATTTATTTTCAGACTTAAACTAATATTTAAACTGTGAAGTTGGAGCCAGCAGGATGACAGCTCAGTTCTGGACAATAACTCAATATTAATGTTCGGGGAGTGGGGGGGAGTGTTAGCCACCAATTGTGCAAGTTCTCCCACTTAAAAAGATGAGGCCTGTAATTAACATTGTTAAACCTCAACTATGAGAAACAAAATGAGAAAACATATCTGGCAAATTAATTCAACTTTTAATAACAATCAGGTCCGTTTCAAAAGCGACTCTTTTATTTTGCTTGTTGGTCTCGCTCCGTGCCGCCCCTCTGACACTGGAACTAATGGAATGTTTCAGATCCGGGGGTTTCCCACCATCAAAATTTTCCGCAGAGGGGAGGAGCCAGAGGACTACCAGGGAGGTCGGACTCGTGGTGACATCATCGAGAAGGCGATGGATCTGTTCGCCGACAACGCTCCGGCTCCCGAGCTGGTGGAGGTGTGTGTCTCGTGCTGCCGTCGCGTCGGCCGCTCAGGATCTTTATTAAACCGTTTGAGTGTTTGTTTGATCGGCTTTGTGACCGTTTCTCCTCAGATCCTGAGCGAAGACGTCCTGAAGAAGACTTGTGACGACAGCCAGCTGTGTATTATCGGCGTCCTGCCTCACATCCTGGACACGGGTAAGCCCCGCCCAGATACCCACTGATACACGGTATTATTTGAAAGTCCTCACCGTCTTTATTTGAACAGGTGCGTCTGGGAGAAACGGTTACTTGGAGGTGATGAAGAAGATGGCTGAGAAGTATAAGAAGAAAATGTGGGGGTAAGAGCTCGGACCCAGTCCTGAATCATTGCAGTGTTTAAGTTCCAGTGGTCCGATGGTCTGGTCCTTCCAACAGCTGGCTCTGGACTGAGGCGGGCGCTCAGATGGACCTGGAGGCCTCTCTGGGTATCGGTGGATTCGGCTACCCCGCCATGGCTGCCATCAACGCTCGCAAGATGAAATTCGCTCTCCTCAGGGGCTCCTTCAGCGAGACTGGCATTCACGAGTTCCTCAGGTAGGGGGCGCAATTCACCTGCTGTTTGCTCCAGAACACGAGTCCATTCGGGGTTTATTGAAATCCTTTAAAAATACTTGAAATTTAACGGTTTGGGAGGTGCTTGGTAGTCAAACTGCACAGAGTAGAACAAACATTTTCTCTTTAATGAAGTCTCAGATGGCCTCGCTGCCGCTCAAAGCCCGAACCCTCGTCAGCTTCCTGCCAGCAGGACCTGCAGCTTTTCACGACGGGAGAGTCGGTGCTCTCGAGTCACAATGCAAAATTAGTGGGAGGGAATCTTACATTTAAGCTGAATTCTTCCGTTTCAATTCATTGAGCCGGGGTTTTACATTCGTACTGCACTTCAAATGTGCAAAAAATAATAATAATAATGTATAGAAAACTCTCAAAGTTTATTAGCTAATGGTTCAGTTAAGTAAAAAGTAGCTGTGGCTTCTAAGTTCATTTCATATTAAACTTTAACTTTCAATTTTTTGGACTGCTAGCCTCCCTCCAGAGATGCAGACTGCTCTCAAGTTTGGTGCTGGAAAAGTTTGAAAATGTACCTTAAAGGGATCTACGATTAGTTGTAACATTAGACTTTATTTGATAAACATTTATTTTAACTGTAAAATAAATGGAATAGAATAATAGAAATAGCCTTTATTTTCCTGCAGCGGGGAAATTCAGAAAAGACTGAAGACAGAGAGAAGAACGTAGAAATGACTCGGCCTGCAACTGAAAATATGGATGGAGGACCTCAGTTTAGCTTGTTTGTTGCGCTAGCGCCGAGCTAATACATATAAGGCAATATCGCGTCAGCGCTAAAGCTAACAGGCTAAGCTGAGGTTCTTCTTCCATGAAGCAGCTCTGTTGTCCTCCATCCATATTTTCAGTTCCAGGCTGAGTCATTTCTACCTTCTCCTCTCTGTCAACGCTCTCTGGTTTCATTTAAAAGAGTCGATCATCAGATATTGTCCAAGATTAACCTTCAGGGTGGATATAGCTCGCTAGCAGCCTCGCACCGAGGACCTATCCACGTCATCATTTACCCAGAATGCTTTGCGTGTAAATAAAATGGCTCTGTCTATGTTAAAATATATTTTTTAAAAATATATTATTTGTATTTTTTTACTGTATTTTTTACAGTCTTTGTTTCACAGTTAAAATATGTTTATCAAATAAAGTCTAATGTTACAACTAATCAGGGATTCCTTTAAAAAGTGCTTGACGTTTCCTCTGGGGAAAGTGTACGAGCCCTGCTGATTGTGACTCATGTTCCTGCTGATGTTCAGGGAGCTGTCTGTGGGCCGCGGCTCCACAGCCACACTGGGAGGCGGAGTCATGCCCAAGATTCACTCAGTGGAACCCTGGGACGGCAAAGACGGCGAGGTGAGTCTCGTGTTCACTTCCTGTCAGCATTCTGAGCGGTTCTTTCCTAAAACGACTCCTTTTATTCGTCAGCTTCCTGTGGAGGAGGATTATGACCTCAGTGATGTTGACCTGGACGACGACTTCGTGAAGGAAGAGCTGTGAGTGGAAGCTGCCGGTGGATCTGTCTGGTCCAGTGTGGCTCCGCCTCCCCTCCCCTCCCCTCAGAGGATGAACAGGAGGCCCTGTCGCCAAGTTACTGAAATATTCCAGAAAAGACAAATAAGAGACATCTGCAGTTTTTCTACATCATCAAACTGTCATGTGGCGGGGGGACGGGGGGGCTGTGTCTCTGGGATAAATTCATTTTCACAAACCTGCTGAACGTTAGAGAAGCTGCGTATTTATAAAGCTGCCACCAGCTGAGGGGAGGAGGTTCTGAATGTCACTTCAAGTCCTTTTAAGACGTTGTTCCCTCTCGCCTTGAAGCACCTATTTTAAGACATGGACTTGTGAAAGTAACACTTCAGTCTGATGAACCTAAACATGTGATTTCCTTTTTTTTTTTTTTTTTTTTAAAGAAAAACAGTAAATAAAACATTTGGATTTGCATCTCGTCTGGTCAGGACAAAGGGGACTCTTTGGGACGTGTTGTGTAGATTTTTCTTACACGACTTTATTTCAATTGTGTGAAAACAAAATGCGTTTTTTTTTTGTTACAAAAAATAAAAACAATACAAACAATCACGGCCTCCTTATTCACACAATCTCACGAAATCTAATAAAACGCATCTAACTGAGCAGTGAGCACATGCAACTTCAAAGAAATGTGGAGCTTATTCAAAAAGGACGTAAGCTCCTGAACAATTAGCCACAATTAATAAATTGTTTTTAGTTTAAGTTCCTCTTACTGTAACACAACTTTAATACTTATTTAATCCAACCAGTATAAACAAATATGGCACCTCACAGGAAACAGCTGAAGTACAAAAGGTATGGGAAGGCACAATTAAAAAAAAATACAAATTTACAGCTCAGTCCAGGCAGAAGAAGCTTGATTTACATCGATGTAAACAGGAGTGTTGGAGGACGAAGCTGGATTTATGTTGGTGTGCTCACGATGAAGTGTGTGTTTCCGTAGTTTTTTTTTTTTTTCTTTCAAAACTGACGAGGGGCTTCCTGGTCTGACTGCAGCAGTCTGACGATGGACGGGTCGCTCTTGGCACCTTTAATGAACTCCTCCAAAGACAATCTACCTGCGGAGCCAGAAACCATGAAGAGTTTTCATCAGCAGGGAGGGATTTGTGCAGCGGCCACTCAGAAAACGGTCTCTACTGTTCTGTCAGAGTAACAAAGACACACAGTACCCGCTAAGAGGGCAACATCTTAAAATAAAATAAAACACTGACAGTGGTACGCACAGCTAAGAAACGTTAGCTTATCCACTAAACAAGGATCTTCGTTCCCCTAATGCTAAACAGATTCAAAATTAGGGGAAATGCTAACTGCTAAAACGACTCAGTGTCACATTTTATCTTTTTAACTCGTGGTTTTTACACAGCAGCAAAGATTATAGAAGCAGAAAACCATGTTTGTGTAATATGTGTCGCTCTGCAGAGAATAAAAATAAGATTTAATTAAATAAATTACTGTTTCAGGCTGAAAATAAAGAAGAGTTTCTCAGGAGAAAGAAGTTAGGTGGTCCTAATCGACTTTTGTAGGAGTGGTTAAGTCATTGTTTAAAACTAATAATAAAAATTGGAGTGAATTGTGAAGGATTTACTAGAGTTTTGCTAAATTTAAGTTTTGTTAAATATTTTACTTCAGATTAAAAGCATTTCTTGGCTCGAGTTTTATTTTAAATACCATTTGAAGTTCATCAAACAAAAAAAATAGCAAATATTTGACCATATTTTATACACTGTTAATTTTTGTATTTATTTAAATAATTATTAAATATTTTTTTTCTCTTTGACGCTTTTAGTTTGAAGTTTAGCTGATAAAGATGCGCCTGTGATTTTCAAAAGTCCAGAACAAACGTCTCATCCTTTAGTTCACATCGGTTCAGTTTATAAACTGCATTCTTAGCAGACAGAACAGGGTTTTTGTTTTGTGTTAGCACCTTAAGAACGGCTGAACGAACAAGTGGGTCATTGATTGACTTCACAGGCCTGAAAGACCAAATCAAGGTGCTGAGACCTGCTGAGCCGTCAGGACTGTGGAAGTGTTCCACAAACACTCGTTTCCATCGACTGTTTCTCCGTCGTCTCTGCGACCCGACACGACGGGTCCAGGAGAGAAACCTGGACATCCCTCTCCCCAGGGATACTCTCCAGCTCAAGGTATCTCAAGCCTTTCCCAGGCCAGAGAGGGTATATATATATATATATATATATATATATATAC